GACCTGAGCTGAGATCAAGAATGGGATGCTTAACTGACTGAGCCACCCAGGTGCCCCTTTTTTCCTTTTTTTTTTTTTTAATGGTCATTCATTTTTGAGAGACAAAGCATGAGCAGGGGAGGGGCATAGAGAGAGGGAGACACAGAACAGGCTCCAGGCTCTGAGCTGTCAGTACGGAGCCTGATGTGGGACTTGAACCCATGAACCATGAGATCATGACCTGAGCCAAAGTCGGACGCTTAACCGACTGAGGCACCCAGGCGCTCCTTCCTTTTTTCCTTTTTTAATAAATAAAAAAATAATGTGCTTTTCGATTCATGGTATATTTAATAAAATACAGCAGCTAATCACCTCTCGTGCCCACTCCTCAGAAATTCCCATCTGGGTGTGGTCACTACTGTAAATCAGTTTCTGTTATAGTAGGTAGCTGCTGATTCCTTTAATATTTGGGGTTGTCCTTGGTTTCTTCCCACACGGGTGTTAGGGTATAGTCTCCCCAGGACAAGGCTGACAGTGGCCCTCATAGTTTGAATATCAGTAACTGTAGAAATAAAATTTCATTTAGCCACTTCCAAGATACAATCAAATCAGTGGCAAAGGAAATTGGTGTCATAGACTCTAAGTCTAAAGTTCCCTTTTGGCCAACAAAAGAGCAGGACACAGGATTAAGGTGAGAGATGGCGTATGTCTGGGAAAAGACAGGAGCCCCAAATAAGGGTCTTTGCCCTGTATTTATTAAGATCAGAAGGCTTACAAACGTGATTGGTGGCACAAAGAGACAAACTGTGAACATTAACTTGGGGATGTGAGGGAAGAGGGGTATTTGGAAGATATACAGTGTTTGGGGTTTGGGTCAATATAAAACAAAATCCTGGCGCCGGGCAGATGGGCAGATGGTTGTTAATGGCAGACAGGAGGTGCCGTGTCTAACTTAGCCTTGGGGATGAGACAGTCAGGCGGAATAATCTCAGGGTTAACAAGGCACCTTTTCTTTTGTTAACCATCTCCGCTCTGGGCTGCTTCACCTGCAACGCAGCGGTCTATAGCTCAATTTATCTGTTTACCTAACTTGGCCCTTTCTTCCTGTGAAAGTAGCTTTTCTGGTACAGTACTAAATTGGGGGCATTTTTGCCCTGCATGCCTAATTTTGTTTACCTCATATACCTTTGCATTGGGAGCCTGGGTACCATCAAGCTGAAACAGAGGATCTGCTCCTCCACTGTACATACAACAACCAACTGAGAAAAGAGGGCTCTGTCTTTTCTTGAATTGTATATTTTAGAGAGTGGCACTAATGCCATAACTTAGAACAGCATGATTATTTGAACATTAAGGTATCATCCCATTCCCAAAGCTAATATTTGCTACCAGTCACTGCTTATCATGAATAGACTAAAAGCTGATTTTTCTTTCCATTCCACTGTTGAAGAAAGATTCATGGAATAGACCAATTATATTTATAATCGATAGGGTCCATGAAAACCAAATAGGTTAAGCTCTTCATTTTTAAAATAGCCCCACAGAAGTAATTTTACTCCTTTTTCCATAGCGAGATACTGATTGGTACAGCCAAAAATAGGATCCAGGTCTCCTAATTCAGTGTCTTCCCTCCCTTCCCATCCCCTCCTTCTGCATTGAACATAATTCTCTCCTAATTTAATTGATGGTTATGCCAGGGGTTTTCCAATGAAACAACTTAGTTTTTTCAAGTTCAGATATGATTGAAATGGAAAAATTGGTGGCTGGCACCTACTTTTAGCTAGATTTTTAATTTTATTGTTTTAAAATGCTTGGAAACAATACCATTTGGGACAGGTAAAGGTAATATTCTTTTCATCTTTGGACCAGTATTGTGAATGCCAAAAAGACGAATGATGCATGCAACTTCTGATTGGAATTGGAACTTGTAGCTTTTGATTACTAATCTAGTACTTATAAGCACCATACCATGTAGCCGATATACCCAGAGCATAAGGCAGGATGTCTTGAAGAGAAGAAAACCTAATAAAACTTGCAATATAATAGGGCCAGTTAAGAATGAATATAGACGTAGTCTGAGGTTTCCTGTTATTATCTGAGAAGTGGCATCTTGAACTTCTAGACAATTCTGAACTTGTTTGGTTTGACGGTAAGATCATTTTCAAGGGAGCTGTCTTGAAGCTAAATAAACTGATGAGGTTTAATTATGATTCTAGAGTGATGTCTGAAGAGGTAGAGGAGATGATAAAGAATTAGTTCTATTTAAAGTTAATGAAACTTTTCAGTTCTACAGGTATTCATTTTTATTACTTTGAAAGACATTACATTGTAAAGATTCAGGTGCATACTAATAACTAAAATGAGATAAACTAGCAAAAATAATAATTACCCATTAACCTAGAATTTATATTAGTTTTTGATTAAAACCGTTCTCTCCCACTTTATTTTCTATTTTAAAATGTTAAAACTCAGGGCAAACTCTAGACAAAAGCAGAGATAAATAATTATCTACTAAGGATTTTAGTATCTCTTCAACTTAGCATAAAAAGATAATTTATTCCAATATACACCATTCTTTTTGCCTTCTCTGCCAGCTCTTGTATTAACCACTTCCATTATCTTAGAAATCCTGTGCTCAATGGCAGTTTGACTATGATTTGCCCTACCACCAACATAATTGGAGAGAAAAGAAAGTAATTGCTTGAATTAATGTATTCTAAGTTACTAATGAATAGAAATGAGGCAGAAACTGTTGATTACTGATATAAAAACTATTTCACCTCCTTCTTTCTTGCTAAGAGAACCCCAGTTTAGGGGAGTAATAACATATCTAGTTGCTAGAGATAAATCATAATTAGCCTAAGTCAGTCATAGCAATATTGTTCCCTTTTCATAACTGGTAGTAATGTCTTCTCTCTCATTCTTGATATTGGTAATTTCTGTCTTCTTTTTTTACTGATCAGTCTGTCTAGAGATTTATCTTTTTTTTTTTTTAATCTCAAAGAATCTCTGTTTGGCTTTATTTAGTTTTACATATTTTTGTTTTGTGTTTCACTGAATTTTTTGTTCCTTTATCATTTCCTGCCTTCTGATTGGTTTGTGTGTATATTGCTCTTCTTTCTCTAGTTCCTTAAGGTAGAACTTTAGATTTTCAATTTCAGATATTTGGTTTCCTTTTTTAATGTTATAGGGTTTGAATCATTTGAAATTTATTGAGACTTGGTTATGGCCCAGAATATGATTTTTCTTGGTAAATGATCCATGTGCACTTGAGAAGAAGGCGCTTCTAAAGAATATATTTTAAAGTTTCTTCTCTTCTGTTTCCAGCATTCTTTCTTTCTTTTCTTCCTCTTCCTCCTCCTAATTGTGACAAGTAATACCACACTGGTTGCCTGCAGAGAGGACAGCTGTGTGGTTTTGACCCATGGGAATGTATTATCTTTTCAGACAATTATTTAATTTTTAGTAAAGAATGATAATTGAATCATAGTGGTGGCTAAAAACACGCACAAAATCTACACACACAAAAGGATTATGAGTATCAGACCAGAAATTATGAGGAATTCTTGGAAGACAGGAAAAGCGGGTGCTATCAGATTAGTTAATTCAGATAACTCAAAACACCTGCAGTAGAAAACCAAGCATGTGCATAGAAACTTGAACAGTTACACTGCAGAAGGTCCCCAGGTCAACCATGTGATTAAAGAGCTACTATGAACAGCAGATGTTTTATCTGCCCTGCTCTGAAATGTCCCCAAACCCTACTTAAATTAGAAGTAAGCACTTGTAGTATTGGACCTTTAGGCTCCCCAAACTACACTCCAAAGACAGTGAATGAGGTTGAGACAAATGCAGACCTGCACAAAAGAAGGGATAAAACAGAAGCACACATCTACCTAGAAGGGACAAATAACTACTTTTCCATCATCAGAAATGCCATTTTTGTTTTGGCAAGAGGAAGGGTCCCTACCCTACCTACAAGCACCCTGCCGTGTACCCCCAAAGAGGAGACTACTTCTTTATATTGACATACTGTGCAATCCCGTTCCAAGGAAAAGCCTATTAGTGAAATGGACATCACAACTGTACATCAGATACATGCTGATTATGTAGGCTAATCAAATGTGCCCTTTATTCCTAAATATGAAAGGACAAAGTTTGGGAAATATTTGAGGAAGGTGAAAGAGAAGATCATAAACTGAGCAATTTCTGAGGTTAAAAAAAATACAGGAAACAGAGTTACCAAAAAAACCAAATTCATACTCAGAATTTTGAGAATTTGAATAAGAATGTGAATTGAAAAAAACTATGAGTTTGAATAGGAATATGAATTTGAATAAGAAGGCTGAGAATATTTGAATAGGAACAGGCTGTAATAAAAGGGATCCATTCAAGATCCCTTTTTTATACCAATAAAATTAAGTAATTGTAAAATGGACACATTATTGCAAAATTAAAATCTTAAACCCCAGGGGGCGCCTGGGTGTCTCAGTCGGTTAAGCATCATGATCTCAGAGTTCTTGGGTTCAAGCCCTGCACTAGGCTGTGTGCTGACAGCCCAGAGCCTGGGGTCTGCTTCGGAATCTGTGTCTCCCTCTCTGCCCCTCCATCTTTCCCTTGCTTGCTCACTCACTCCGTTTCTCAAAAATAAATAAACATTAAAAAAAAAAATTCTTAAACGGTGCTCAGCGCAGGGTCTCCCTGCGTCACTTAGGCTCCACCCGACCCTGGAACAGAGCATGCGCGGCCCCGCCCCACCCCTTATCCCCCTTCCCCCAAACCGGAAACTCGCCCCCGTTTCCTGTAACGGACCCCAGTTCCGGTTCTATCCCAGAGCTGTTGCCGCGTCCGAGCCCAACGGACGCTGCCTAGAGGTCTCCATTGCCACTGAGTGCCTCTGGCTCCTCTCGCCATTCAAGCTGGGCAATCTTCGGGGCCGCCGCCGCCTTCGGCCTCGCCACTGCCTGTTCCGGGGTCCTCGCTTCAGAGTTGCCTTGACCTTGGTGCCAGCGCCGCCAGCCATGGCCACCGCGCCGTTCTCTGAAGTGCGCCAGAACTACCACCCTGAATGCGAGGGCGCCATCAACAGCCAGATCAACCTGGAGCTCTACGCCTCCTACGTGTACCTGTCGATGGCTTTCTATTTCGACCATGATGACGTGGCCCTGGAGAATGTCTCCAAGTTCTTCCTGCGCCAGTCCCATGAGGAGAAGGAGCGTGTCGAGAAGCTGATGCAGCTGCAGAACCAGCGTGGGGGCCGCCTCCGCCTCCACGACATCATGAAGCCTGACCGCGACAACTGGGAGAGCGGCCTGAAGGCCATGGAGTGCGCCTTTCACCTGGCGAAGAGCGTGAACCAGAGCCTGCTCGACCTGCACCAGCTGGCTACTGACAAGAACGACGCCCATCTGTGCAGCTTCCTGGAGACCAACTACCTGCCGGAGCAAGTGAAGGTCATCAAAGAGCTGGGGGGCTACATCACCAGCCTGCGCAA